CTTGATCTCCCACAAAGCAACAATTCACCTTGCCTTCGAGCTCCATCACTCCCCCACACGACCGACGACAACTGGCCTTGAAATTACAAAAAGCAATCTCTCCAGCTGCCGCCTCGGGCGAGAAAAAACGGAAAGGTCTCCACGGTGCGGCTGATGTTGGATCCAGCGCTGCAACCGCTCCTTCTTTCGTCCAAGCTTCTTGTGTTGAGGAAAGACCGCCTCTGTGGGTCAGTTCCATGGCGAATGTTGGCTCTTGGCCCTCTTGGCTCTCGGCGCGTCGCACTTTTGCAAGTTCAATGGGAAGAAGAAAGACACTGTGGGAGCGGTAGAAAAACAACAATCAGCTCATACAACCGTTACAAAACGCTTACCATTCTCCCCACCCTTTTTTCCATGTAGATAATGTTTTCCAACAGGTACCACGATACAGGGACATAAGCCGATTTCAAGTATGGGGCAAGGTTAGGGAAAGGGCAATGGCTCAAAGCCTTTGGCGGTACCAGTACTGTCAGCTGCGGAGTTCTTGTGTCTTGTTTCACCACAGGGATGCACGAGCGATGAATTTGATGGGCACCGTCAATCGACTAGATGGAATAAGCAATTTGCCGGGCAGTACATTTTTCGTGTAAAAGGTCCGTAGAAATTTGACGGCAATTGCAAATTTGACGGGATTTTGGCGGTCCGTCAAATTCGAAATGACCGGAGGGCATAAATAATTTTTCATGGCGAAGCGCAATTTTTATTCAATTGAGTCGATTGACGGTTGACGGCCTTGGCTGGAGATGCTCTAAAAGGGCTAAAACAGGAACACCCAGCAGAACGAAGATTTTTGTCATTGTTGGAAAACAGAAAGACCCTCTTAAGTCATTTGTGATCACGTGGAGGGAAAGGAGCAACTCATACTTAACAAACAAAAAAAGCATGGAATAATCTGATTGGCTCAGGCAAAAGCGAGGAGAAGCCACCAAAAGTGAGGACTTTGGTCACTTCTCCTCAATTTACTCAAAGTACTCAATTCCCTCAAAAGTACCAGTACTCATTTTACTCAATTGAGTAAAATGAGGACTTTGAGGGAATTGAGGAGAAGCGACCAAAAAGCGTTTTTTACTTATATGTGTCAAAAATTTGTTAAATGAACTTGAATTTTGGGGTATGATATTCACATTCACATGATTTTCAATTTGGCAAAACAGACTCGCTTAAAATCTCACAAAAAATATAAAACAAATCAGAATGTATTACAATACGAAGAGGTGCAAGAAAACTTCTGACGCTCGCTGAGAGACTGATCTTGGGGCAACTGCCAGTCCAAGACTTGATTGGCGATACAACATCGCCAATAATGTGGGGGAGATAATAAATTTATTGGTGGACATCTTTGTGGGAATTTCGAAAACGAGTAAAACGAGGAGAAGCCACCAACTTGGTCGCTTCTCCTCTTTCCCTCAAAGTACTCAATTTACTCAAAGTCTTCAATACTCAAGTGAGGAAATTTAGCACTTTGAGGGAATTGAGGAGAAGCGACCAGAAAGCAGTTTTTATTCATGTATGTCAAATATAATCCTCGTCTATCATTTTTGAAAAATGTCTCGTTTTACATAATGCAAGGCATAATGGAGAATGACAAAGTCATTTCTTGAGAAAGAACCACGACGAATTCGGAAGTCCTCACTCTGTTGGGTGTTCCAGAAGAAATAACTTCAAAACTATTGAGGAGAAGCGACCAGAAAGCAGTTTTTACTCATGTATGTCAAATATAATCCTTGTCTATCATTTTTGAAAAATGTCTCGTTTTACATAATGCAAGGCATAATGGAGAAATGACAAAGTCATTTCTTGAGGAAGAACCACGACGAATTTGGAAGTCCTCACTCTGTTGGGTGTTCCAGAAGAAACAACTTCAAAACTACAGTACTGTATTGTCGAACTGTTGGAATTGCTCTCTTGGAGACCATTCATTGGAAACTCCTTGATAGAAGCAGTTCGACACGTCCGATCGGACAGACGGACAAATGTCCGTTTGGTCCGTTTATTCGGGGGGTTCCTATGAGTCGGTTTTGCAGGGAATCTGAAAACATGGAATTGTGCGCTTGGACTATCAAACGTCTGAGCGCCACGAAAATCCCATACTGAATCCTGCGGGACTTCGGTACGTGGGTTTTGTACCGGCCTTTCTGGATTGCATAACATCCAGTAAAGTTTTGGGAAATTTGAGTTTTCGTGCAAGGCTTTTGCTTTGCCCATTCCATGTAGATAACAAGTCTTTTAGAATAGTTATTTCCTGTAGAGATGATTATTTCCTGTTAGACGGATTGGAGATCGCTATGGTTAGTGCCTATGCATGACGACTTGATGGGTCGCATGCTGGCACGGCTGGTTGGCAATTATGGCTTCATGGGCCACAACGTTGTCAATGGGTTTGGACGAAGACAAGCAGTCTGATCATGTCCGCCAGAACCGATTTCCAACTCAAACCTTTGGTCGATTGAGTCGGCCAAAAAAGGAACATGAATTTAATGTGATCAACTGCGACATGATGCAACACGGAGCTACACAAAAATGTATACTAAATAAATAGCTTTAATTTATGACACCCGAACACCTCACCCCACCGTACTTCTCAGTTGTCACGCGCAAACCCACAAGTACAGTTGCAAGATGGGGTAATTCTCATAAATGGGGCAGAGGGACAGATGGGGTCACCATTTCAAGCGGGTTGCAAAAAAACATTAGTGGTCGTAAAATATTTAACGGTTCATTGTAACCTGCAAGGATTGTAAGAGCTTGCAGCAAATTTGACAAGAGTCAAAGAGGTTTTGCTAGCACGGCATCCTTGCCGCAAGGTGAAATACAACGCATGTGGAATCCGGAATCCACAAATGTGCAATGCCATTTCAGAATCCTGTTCTTAAACCTTTCAGCATTCAGCATTTGGAGGATGTTCGCTTGGACTCAACTGGCGATATGCCATCCGTTGACAAGAGCCGGATTGGTTGGCTCGGTATTCTTTCGCGAGGTCTCTTTTGGCAAATGTCATCGCTAGAATTTAACGGCTTGACTAGCAGTGCAAGCGGGAGTCGACAGCAGCTCCCGCTGACATCTATGGTCCCGTCTGTTTGCCTTCAACCTATTTCCAAAAATTACCCCGTCTTGGAACGGCAGGGAACTGTGGTTTGATTAGTCATTTCACACGCAATAGCAACTTTACAAAGGGAATCTTGCAGGCGGAATCATTGAAGCGACCAACTTATCCGCAAGTCCACAACCGGTCAGTCAAAATAGCACGGTTCGGCTATGCGGAGGGTGGGAGAGGACAAAGGGAAAAAGCATGCCCGTCCTCTCTAATCATTCCCCATTTTCTCTGTTTATAGACCACTTTTCCATATTCAAGAAATGACTCTGTGTAAAAATACGGCGGGTCTATTCGATGATTGTTCGGCATGATGCATGTCAAATTGACAGCTCGACTGGCTTGTGGTCAATTTGACCATGGCTCTACAGGCTCTTGGTCAAATTGATCATCCAATCAAATCATCCCACTTGAAAGTTCCCATCCTTCATTTTTCAATTTCTCACACCACCAAGATCAACCTGATACGAACTGTAGGTGGTACAAGCTACGACATTACCGGCACACGTGGACCAAAAGACCTTACTTCTTGTGCACCCATCAACACCAAAAACCGAGCACCAACCACCTTGGCGCAACAATCACAAGGGGTTTGAAGCAACAGCGGCCATCAATCCCCTCTCTCGGACCCCCACCAACCACTCGCAATGAAAGTTTTCCTCGTCACTTCTTCTGCTGGAACAGTGAAGTTCGGTCACACGGTGGGTCCATCACCAATGTTTCCCAACGATCAAATGTTCCAACAACAGAAGAAGTTATTGAAATGATTGATAATGAAGTAACGTCCATTGGTGTATTGTGCCCAATGACATTGTCTTTTATCATCTTGCTGTTGCTTCCAGGGTTCTGTTGCTTCCGAAGATTTCCAGTCAAATCCGTCAACTGGTAAATCTGACTGAAACGATGAATCGGCATCTATGGACCCCAGGAAGAAACCAAATACAATGGCAAGCTTCATTCTTACAAAGAGTACATTCACAGCTGCGATTGGTGATTTATTCTATATCTTTATCATTCCACAACCAACCAATGTTGATCAAGCTGCGTCTGTTGGTTGATCCTCGATTGTCGGTTTGCCATCTTTCAGGAGGAGGTTCCCATGGCCGCCATACTACCGGGGCACAACCACTCAACAATACACCAGTCCCTTCTTTCGATCCTTAAGCTTCGAGCAGTATGTGACCTAGTCATGGATTCGGCCTAGATCCAGCATACAGTGGCCTAATTGGTGGGGTCAGAACAACATCATGGTAAGTTCTGCTTCAAAACCGGTATTGGTCGACCTTTGGGCCTAATTTCTTCAAGCTTCTTTATTCTAATGCATATCTGTCGTGCATGGGTATGTATATCATGATTGGGGGGTTGGAATGGGGGTTTTCTGGGTAGAAGTGATCGAACCACAGGCACTTGGTGTGGATAATAGATTCAGCATAGATGTTGGGACAAAAGTTTTCAATGTACCAGCAGTTATCAATATTTGGCGATGGTTTGAATTGCTGCAATGGGAAAAGAGATGTTTGGCTCCTTTTTTCAGTTCCTTGCAACAGTTCAATTGATTTGGAGGGATTTCCTTCAGTCTGATTGGTTCTACCAAGAGTTCTTCACCAAACTTTGCTATTCACAGTATATAGAGATCTAGTACAGATACTACCTAATCTGCAAAGTGGCCCGTCTTCTTTTCCCAGGGCAGCTTTGCTTAGTACTTTGTGGGTGTGCACGTGAAAACTGAGACGTACGGTGGGGTTTAATGTTTGGGTGTCAGAAATTAAAGCTATTTATTTAGTTAATATTTTGTGTCACACCGAGTGGAACCTTAAAATACCACAAAAATTTTGTCGCTTTTCCGACGATTCATTCAGTCGACCAGCAACTCTGATGCTCGACTCTCAACGGCATGTTATATCTGCTTTCCCACCATTTGCAGACTCTACCCCGTACATTTATAGTAGTGTAGGTCGTAATAGCACGTTTTGTGATCACAATAAGGTCGTATTTTACAAGATAGGGGTCTTGTGTTTTTTATTAAAGTCGAAGAAGTCAAAACTTCGGTGCAGTATATTAATGAACAAGTATTACATACTCTTTTTTAATCAATCAAACAGTTGTTCATGGAAAAGTTGTCTTTAGCATTCACCAAGACGTTCTGAACATTCCGGTGCAAAGTGGAATGTTGCCAATGCAAAGGTACCGGCATAAAGACATAGCAAAGTCGAGGGAATACCAAATGGAGCATGACGCTCCGAAGTGAAAGTCCGATCTCCGACCTTCGCTGCTTGGAATGCAACGATCATGTTGGCAGCCGAACCAAGCATTGTAAGATTACCAGCAACAGTGGCAGAGAAAGATACTTGCAACCAGTCATATGGAGTTGCGTAAGGGAATGTGGCGGCAAGCATTTGAACGACAGGAACGTTGGAAGCAACGTTTGACAAAATCGTAATAACCATGACAAACCAGTACACACATGCTCCCTTGGTCATTTGTTCCGCACAATTTCCCATGCTAATGTTGAAAAATGCTTGTGGAACACCGGTATCGTCGAAGGAACCAATGAGAAGGAACTGTCCGATGAAGAGCATAAGCAAACCATAATCAACTTCGGTCAAAGTAGTTTCAGACTCGGTGACAAGCTCATCTTCCTCAGGCTCAATCTCATTTCCATCCATATCATACGTTTTCTTTCTTGGAATGGGATTGCCCTCAGCATCATATTGTGTGGTGTCGGGACGAGGATCGTAGTGTTGGCGTTTGTACGCCGCAATGACCATAAGAATAGCACCTGCAGAAATCGAAACAACGCAGACATCCAGGCCAACAGCAAAACAAATCAAGAAAATGACAACAATCAGTACTTGAAGCTTCGACCAGAAAGTCCATCCTGAGCTAGCATCAACACCAGATTGATCCGGGGACGCCGCCTGCCGTGCGTAGAATGCGTGTTCTTGAGCCAGCATTTCTGGCGTGCGGTTTCCCAAAAAGATGATTCCAATGTTTTCTGCAACTCCAGAGGATCCTGGAAACAACTCCGAACCATAGTAAACAAACATCATGATCACATTGATGCATGTCGCTGCAACTACTGGCATCGCAACATTTCCGGCAAACTCAAGCCATCCAATATCATCGTATGAAAGGGAAACAATCAAGATGTTTTGTGGGTTTCCAGTCAAGGTGAGCGCAGATCCAATGTTGGCGGTAGTTGCCAGCGAGAGAAGATAGGGAAGGGAGTTCGCAACCTTGTGTCGGACGCAAAGATCAACAACGACCCCAGAAAAGATAAGGGCAACAGAATCATTCATGACTGCTGCAGATCCAAGGGTGGACATGGCCATGATTTTCCCCGATCGCTTCCAGTTCACAGGATCATCAAGTGAGTCACGAAGCTTGTCAAACAGCCCTCCGCGTTCCATCTTCTCAAGGTAGATCGTCGTGAGCATAAGTCCAAAAAGGAGGAACAGAGGCTCCATAATGATCACACGCTCGGCATCGAAGAAAGGACCATGCCCAGTCTTCAACAATAGAAAGCGCCAAACCACCATGGACAATCCTCCTCCCAGTGCGATACCAGGACGACCAATGGGAAGGAACCAGTTGGGAAACATTAAGAAAAACCAAAACGAAAAGTAAATAAGGGCAACCGACCATTTTCCGAATAGCGAAAATTGATCAGAAACGTCAACGTGAAGGTACTCTCCAAGGTATCGGTGACGACGACGTGTATACTCCATGTTACCTCCTTCCTGCTCTGTGAGATGGCGAGAACCGAACCCTCGATTTAGATGACGATCATCAGGATTGGATGGCATGGCAAGAACGTCAGCAGTGTGCCGTTCAATCAGAGCACGGCGTTCGAAGTGAGACTGTGAAAGCTCAGGAATCTTGGAACCGGTTGGTCCCAAAAGGCTAGCATTCAGAGCCAAGACGCCAGCAACCACAAGCAAAGCTGGTCCCCACTTCCTCATGAAACTCGTCTTTGCCGGTGCATTCACCGCATCGATCGATCTATTCTTTTCTATATCCATCATCCCTACAGTACACAAAATGAAACCAAAGTCAGATACAACAAACCTACGAAAGAATTGACGCATTTAAAAATCTTCCCCGTCCACAGAGACATTACATCGTTGGTATCACAAGCTAACTCAAGGCCTCCGTGAGAATCGTCCTTTCATCAGTGAAGATACTGCTGTTCTTACCGCTTATTCTCCTTCCAGCGTAACAATGCTGTGGATATTTTTTCTTGTGAAAGATGTTCCGAGAGGAGGAGAGACCATTGACAATCGCCACGGACAGAAAAATTTCGCTTCGCCGTTATAACGTTACAAAAGCGATACTAAACTTCTTCATACCTATATATAAAGTTAATGATCGAGGGCCAATGATCATGTCTTGGAACCGGCATGTACGTCGTCAGTTGGATTGATCTGTCGTCTGTCTGTTGACAGCTATTGTTCTATTCATTCATTACGAACTCTGTACGATATTGCCGGTACACGTGTACAAGTACATGTACTTATTTTAAAATAAAAGAACATCGAAGCTTCCTAGAGACGGAATGAATCTTTCTTGCCTGGCACAGTGACAGCTGGGTCAGCTCTCTGTTACGACGAGCATATTACAAAGCGCTGACTGAGGAATTTCCAATCCTGTTGATAGGTCTGCCACACGACATCCACGAAGTTGCAATAAACCCGCAGAAAGGGCAATGAATCTAACGGTAACTCTGACGTTGCCCCCATTACCAGGGACCTCATCTAGGTTCTTGAAGTTTGGTCCACAAACAGAAATACCAGTGAGCTGTTCCATGCGGAACTGTACCTGCAATGAAATGTACTTCTCCGAGTGGTTCACTACCAAGAATTCGATATGAAACGGTTGCCCGATCTGCACTTGCACCGGCGGGTCAATCGGCTGAACAGTAACAGGCAATTTTTGGCCCAATGTTGCTTGGCGATCTTGTGCGAGCCCTGGTATCACTGTAGTATTCGTTGCATCTACAGAGAGTGGCTCAATTTTCTTGTCTTTTCCAGTAGGCCTCTTTTCAGTCCCTGATAATATAGTAGCATTTGGACAAATCAACAAAGAAGATTTCATACGCCCCATCTCTCCACATGCCTTTCTCCATGTGAAACTTGCTGTACCGAGTTCATCGCCGGCATCTATTCTTCCGGGCTTCGAAGCTGACGTGGCATCAACTTTGAAGAGGTAGCTTCTGGTGACACCAGTTTCCAGCCTTCCGCAGTTGTCAAATAGTGCTGTAGCCCTTAATGAGTCCTTGCCTTCTGTCTCTAAGTGAACCTGATTTGCCTCCAATCCATGTACTGCGTCAAAGTCTACTGAACATATAGTCAAACCACCTGATTGCGATCGTTGTGAGAATATTGTCGAAACTTAAACCAGAAATAACGAAATACCCACCCTTCGTCTCCGCCTCATTGTTTTGGACGTCCAACGACACAAAGCATACCGATTCGCCGCTCTTGTACGTTGATGCACCGATGATGAGTGGGACGGAGACTTGAAACCTGTAAAATTTTCTAAGAGTCTTTTGCCCATCAGCGCTACCATAGCCAACTTCAACTCTCAATATGTGCTGTCCAGGTTCTTCCAGCACATGAGAAACAACAGCATCAACGCCAGCTTCCGGCGGAACATCCACTCCTCCATTTGAGTTTCCTCTATTGAGAAGAGTGATGAGATGAGACGAGAGCAAATTGTTGAAACCGTTTGAAGAACTCACGAATCAAGACTTGATGCAAGATGCTGTTGGATCGAAATCAAGAAAGAATTATCAGTTGTGAAGGCAAGAAATTGGATGTTGTCTGGTAGTTTATCCACCTACCCATCGTTGACTTGGTGTTTGAAGTTGAGCAGAAACAGTTAATCGAGAAACTGGAAGTGTTTTCGACACATTGAGTGCACCAAGATATGCTGTAAAGGTTTCGCCTATATGGATCACTGCAAGCGAGGACGGAAATAACATTTTTGTAAGAATACGATATAAAATCATTAGGACTGGAGTGCTGCCACAGACTGCTTACCACCAAAAGAATCTGGCAAGCACATGGCAGATGAAAGCACGCCCTTGTCTTCTAGCGTACCAGCTGCAGGCTACAAGGGACAAACTGTTGGGTCATCAAAGCAATGAGAAGAACAGGTGCAACAAACAGTGTACGAGTACATACAATATGAAGTTCAGGTTTTTGTAATCGCATGACCTTTAGCGTCGGTACCGCAGTGTCAAGGATTGGTTTTACTTGTTGCATTCCTGTGCTTGTCATGCTGTAATGGGCATTTGTTGGTAGTATGCAGAAATGATTCATCAGTTCCTGACTAAAATGACTACATACAGCAGCCGACCTTTTTCAACACTCCTCTCGACACCATCCACTTCCAACTGACGACCTACCGGAGGAACTTTCTCTCGCCAAGTGATATTTGCGCCTTGAGAAGATTCCAGACCATCGGGACTCTTTGATCAGTAAAGCATTGAGAGCTTCCGTGAATAGAATGGCCAGCTCTTGAGAATCTGAATTTCCGACCTGAATCACAATTAAGAACCTGATTGTTGACTAGACCATGGCTGATGCTTCCTCATGGTTCGTCGCAGAGCCTTGCGCAGATGCCTTCCTTTCATTGAGATCGTATCTCATAGAAGCAACAAAACTAAGACCAGAGGGCGAGGATCTATCTTCGGCTAGCAATACGGGACAATCCATTGCTCTCAAATGTGGTCAAGTCAAGTACAGGGAATACAAGACAGCTTGGATTATACAGCACACGTCTAAATGCAACGAACGATGGAGCATCGACTCTCTTGGACGAACTGGTGAGAATATAGAAAACCATACTCCATCCAAGCCTAGGAAAGTCAGTACCAAAAGGCGGATCGGTCAATTGATCTGTACGAGTCCCCAGGAATCAACCGTTGGTAACTCTCCTTTGTTCCCTCCATTACCGCTCGTGCAACTGATTTATCGGGCCTTGGAACTCCTTTCCATACTGAAACATACGAGGGATGAATATTTTGTAAATTCGTGTATGAAGATTCAACCAGCACTCAACCGGAGATTGATTGATATCGAACCAATCTTCAATGCGCTTTGGGAAAAGCACGCAAATGGAAAGTCGCGCAAACGAGTGGTGCATAAGTTATTTGGCATTGCAATTGAAGCCATCTCAGATGTTGTTCAGCAGATGGTGGAACCGTGGGGAGGGCAATGGAGCATTTGCATCGATCTTCCTCGACGCTCTTCAAAATTGAAGCCATACCTTCGATCTTCGCTCAAATCAATCAAGTCATTCATTCGTGAATGTCTTGCTGATTCCATGTTGATAGGAAAATCTACCAGAAAGATTCTGGACAGTCCTGAGCGCGAAAGAATCAGAATCGACACAACTGATAGACCGCCCGATGCCTTAACATCTTTCGATACAGACGCAGCCAGCAACATGAAATCAAGAAGTAACAACGGTGCAGAAGAGCATTTGAAGGAAAAGAAAGGTCTGCTTCGATTGAAAAGTGTATCTCATTCGACCTTCGACAGTGGCACGGCTAAGCCGTCTATCCGAAATCGAGAGATTTCAGCCCGGTCTCACGAATCTGTGCAAGTTGTGCATTCTTCAGAGAGCTCTCTTCTCGCTTCAAATGGACACGACAAGACAGGACTTTCCCCACAGATTGATTCGGACACTCAAGATATCAGTTCCTGTACAAGTCCTGTCACTGGCACTGCGGTCGTAGAGTCGACCGACGTAGAATTTGGAAAAAAGACAGAATTATCTGCAATTGGACGACAATTGGGGAACGACTTTGAGACGCGGTTAGACATCAAAAAATTTCATGAGAAGAAGGAATTGTCAAGCCAGAGCCTTTTTGAATCCGAAAATAGGAAGTATAAGCATTGCAATCGTGGGGAAACACTGAATCTCATTGTGGACGAAGATAGTTGCACGAGTCGAAACAAAGACGAGATATCTTCGCAAAGCACGGAAAAATCAACAAGTACAATGGAAGTGCAAGTGGAGACTAAGCACGAAGACTTGAGAATAGACTCCACTGTAGCAGGTTACTGTAGTGAACCGATTGGCCTCGATGCGGTTGCCGACAAGGCACCACAAGTCTCAGGATTGCTGGCAAGCAGACAGCTTCGTTCTGCGTCAGCCCACTCTGCCGATATTGACCTAGGTACTGAGAATTTGGACGATAAAGACAGTTCCTGGATGAAACTGGCCCACATGGGGCACATCAGCGATTATCACGGCTACCAACGGCAGCACCAAAGTTTTGTTCCACTGAAATATAGTGGATCAGTTTCGGAGACTCGTGCGTCAATCGAGGAAAAATTGAAAGAGCTAAGAACTGTGTTCTCAACAGCTAATGAAGACGCTGATTCGGACCAAGAAGACTATAGTGCGGCCGTTTTTTCACACTCAAAATTCCAAGAATATGAACGCAAACAAAGAAGCAAATCTACACTTAAGATACCTATCACAATGAAGGAGACGCCGTTTGGTGGAGAATTCGAAAATCGACCGTTTCGCTTCACGTCTGCTACTTCTGCAGACCTTACTCCAAAAAAGAGGAAACAAGATTCTCTTCGTCACATCAGTTGGATTCCTACCCCGAACTTTAGATCGATCGAAACAGATCCCCTAACGTTTTGGAGAGATACCCAAAACAGGGCAAAACGCCCTCGCAGAACTGCCGAGCTCAACGAATTGAAGAAAATATCTGTGATGATGTTGAGTGAGATGTATCACACGCTCCGATTCATCGAAGATTACAACGAAGGCATTTCCACTAAGTTTGATGTTGATACAGTTGCGGATCCAGGGATGTGCGAATCCCATTTGGGAGATAAGGAATCAAGTGCTGCAAAGCCGTTAGAAAGCACGAAGACGTTCAGAAAAATCTTTGATTCTGATGTACAATCACTTGCGAAGTCTGTGGATGAGCTCCCGTTGAAGACCATGTTCATGAACAACTATGAAGACATACAGAAGCAGTTCATTTCTCTTCGCCAATTGCCGGAAGATTCAAAGTTTGAAGTGTTGAGATTGTCTATTGAGACGGCCATTGGCGAAAAGACAATTCGGCTTTTCAGTGATGAAGAGATAGTCAAGGAGGAGAAATCACGGACCAGAATTGCGCGAGGGTACAAGCGAAAGGCCGACCAAGAAAAGATAGAAAAGAAGCATCATGAAGACGAACGACTGCTCCTGCTGAGGGAGTTCGAGTACGCGAACCGGAATAAGAAACCATCCGCTGCGGAAATTGAAATGGAAAGATTCGAATCAAGGCCTATTCAGATGGTTGATCATTCTAGCAACGAAGGGAAAAGAGAACGCTGTCAACTAGATACTTCATGCAGCCTTTGTAAACCTGCAGCTCTATCGAAATTGTCAGCTCCAAGTGATGATGGTGAGGTCACAATCATTCATAACCCAAAGACCCGACGGGTCGATCTTTATGCCATTAAGGATGAAGACTCGCACAGGGGGTCGCTCCTTGAAGGTGATTCCGGCGACGCTTCGCTAAGGAGCCTTATGGAGATGAAGCATATACTTGCCTTTATTGAGAAGTACAAAACGGGAATGATCCGATGATGCAGTGCCTCGCATTCCGCCATATTATGGTGACGCACCTTGCCCAGGATCCTTCTGCATTAGTGCGCCCGGGCCGTGAACAACGCGAAGCGAGGTTCCCTGAGTATTGTCGCCGACTGTGTCGAAAGAGTGCGCATGGACGAACAAGAGTACAAACGTCCAGAGGTGGATCAAGACCAAGTAAAAGATAAAGCCTGCTCGTGCGATTGGATTTCGTCTGAGGTACTTTCCTGAATTATCAAGTCTTCTTGATTAGTTTCAGGCCAAAAAACAAATGTAAAGAGTTCCCATCGTACCTGTTGTTACAGCGAATGAATCAACAACATCAACAACCTTTCCAATTTGTTCAGTTCGTTCTCCTTGACCTGTATTCAGGAGCATAGCCGTTCGGATGGAACCACTGTTGGGAGTTTTACCTTTACGTCGACGACCGAGTCCAGGTTGCAAATTGCCCTTTTCTACGGAATCGTAGTCTCCATTCGCCCCAGTGCATGATATTATAGCAAGCTGATCTTCTGCCTCCTGGGCTCTATCAATTGCAATTTGTAGTCGATTTTTCAAGGCAGAATTTTCGCTACTTTGATTTGTGATCTTTTCGCGAAGGTTCATCAGCTGCTCTGACAGTACTTTCACTTGGGTTGACATAGTATGATCGTCTTGAATAGTTCCAGTCCCTGAAGCATCCAGCCCGTTAGTATCTTTCTGTGTCTTTTCATGCTGTAACTTTGAAACAGTGAGCTGTAGATCCGCGACTTTCCTATCATACTGGAGCTGCATGGCATGCGATGCTGAGGCTTCCTGTGTACTTTCCTTTGACATCTCGCGAAGCTGAATTTGCAATGCCTCGCTCTTTCAAGATGCGATTGGATGAAAAGTGAGGAAAAAATGACTCCATATTTAACAAGTCTTTTACATGGACTCACCTTCTCTTTCTCCAAAGCCAAATGGGCTGCGGCAGTATCATATTCGTTTTGGAGCGTTTCCATACGAACAGAAAGGGAGGTATCTTCTGTTTCTCCCGACATTCTGTTGTTTGACTGTTGTGACCTGGGAACAGCTCCATTCCTTGCTTTTGCAACCAGGGCGGCATTGAGTTCTTGTACAGTGCGTTCGAGTTCTGCTTCTCTTGCCTAAGTATACAGCTGGATGAGACGTGGAGCAAATCTTTCAATCTGAATGCCTGAAAAAAACCTACCTGTCGTTGGCTGATCTGTCGTGCATGCTGTGTCAAGGCATTGTCAAGCCGGTCTTCTGCTTCATGTTCACGATCAGCTGCATTATCCGCGGCTTGTGTGAGAGACTCTAATCTGGATCCAAGAGCTTCTTGTTGACCCTGCAAGGTGGAAATTTGAGAGAGTAGGGTCACTTTCTCGTCCCTATCAACGACCAAGGACACGCATTGAGCACATGGTACACGAAGCTCAAACTAGGGTTTGCAATACGTACTCTAGTGACATAACTTGTTGATTCAATTCTTTTTCTCGTTTCACAACACTCGTCATCTCCTTACTCCAATCGCCATCTTCTTGCTTTTTCTGACTTTTCATATCTGTTAACTTATTGCGGTACGAGTCAACTTGCTGCTCGAATCGCGCTTGTTGCTCCTTTAGAGCTTTGTCATGTTGCGACCGAAGCGCTTCTAATTCGTTCGTGTGAATTTTCATCGCAACTTCCTTCGCTTCTTTCGTACGAATTCTGTCTTTCTCCATCTGCTCAGCCGCCCTTTCCAGTTCTTTTCTTTGAGCTTGCAGTTCGATTTCAGCTGATTCCAGTTGTGAGTTCAGAGATACTACATGTCGCCGCAAAGTTCTTGCTTCCTTTTGAGCTTCCTTTGCTTCCATCACCAATTCTTTTTCCCTTCCGGGTTTTGATGCCTTCGCTGGCGCCGATTTCGGTGGAATTGTTGGAACCTTGCTTGCTTTAGGTTCCGAACTTTCTTTCACTCCCTCAGTTCTATTATCATGACGAGTTTCTGCGCTTTGGGCTAGCGCGCCTCCCTTGTCTTGCTTCTCTGGTACAATAGCTATGAAAAACTTGTCTTCTTCGCCCTTGCTCTTCAGTTCCTCCTCCTCGTTCGGTTCTGGGTCTGATTCATAGTTTTCTGAATTGGGAGTGTCATCGGTTGGCGTCTCCAAGTTCTCATTTGATCTAGATTCTCCTTGCTCTGGTACGGACCCCGCCTTATCCCCTAACACGTCGTTATCAAAATCATCGAATGCACCAAAGTCATCTAGCTCTATAGCATCTACATCATCTCTCTGTACCGCTTGAACTTGTTTTTCATCTCCGTCGTCAGCTAGTCCTCGTTTCGCCAGTATTTCCTCTATTGCTGGAGCAGGTGAAAGGGTATCTTCTTCCCCTGTTGCTCTACGCTCCTCGGCGACAGCTTCAGCCGTATCGTCGAGCTTTTCCAATAGGTTATTGACACTTGATAGCCACTTCGACATCACCGAAAGACGCCTCCCTTTTTGTGAAGAATCCTGCCGTCCATGTACCGTATCGTACCAGGTACCAGGAACGGCCGGGAACGGCGGTCGTATTGGTCGGCCATCTTATATGCGGAAGACTGAAAAAGGAATCTTAGTCGCCGAATGACATTGAGGCAGTGGGAATCCCCGGATTTCTCCCCTAGTTGCGAGATTTTCCCACAGCTCAATTTTTCCCACAACTCAATTTTTCCCACAACTCAATTTTGCTTCCCACAACTAGTTGTGGGAATTCCCTCAACAGTTGTGGGAAAACTGTCATTTCTACACAAAAAACCACGTAGGATATGTACTGAGACAAATTTGAAGTTTCCCACAACTCTAATTGTAGTTGTGGGAAGTTTCCCACAACTCTAATTGTTTTATTGGGAATTATGGGAAAACTGTCCGTTCTACGGAAAACTGTCCGTTCTACACACAAAACAACGTTTGATATGTACTGACTAGAAATTAGACAACTACATATGATGTTTCCCAAAAACTCTAATTGTTTTCGTGATATTTCGTGATACATTTAAGGCAAAAAAACGGACAGCTGCGCAACGGAAATTCCCACAACTAGTTGTGGGAAATTCCCATAACTAGTTGTAGGAATTTCCCACAACTATTTTTTAAGATTCCTACAACTAGTTGTGGGAATTTTTGGCAAAAATCTGTTCCCACAACTAGTTGTGGGAAATCGCGTTAAATATCGCGGGGACGAAATAAAATGAAAAGGGGGAATCCCACTGCCTCATTGTCGATAACACGACAAGGGCCCACTATTGAATACAATAGATTTGAAAACACTTTCCTATGTGCTTGATAATTGATACTGTGTTTCCCATCACTGTAGCAAATATACTGAATCTACGTGAAAGAAACTAAAAAAGCCCTTTGATTGAACGTCAAAATAGGAAAGTGACTTCCAACAACAATTTCCCCACATATACTCTTATCAGACCTCTTTATTGATATAAATGTCTTTGATCTGCTGTTAAGAGGCATTGAGGCAGTGGGAATCCCCGGATTTCTCCCCTAGTTGCGAGATTTTCCCACAGCTCAATTTTTCCCACAACTCAATTTTTCCCACAACTCAATTTTGCTTCCCACAACTAGTTGTGGGAATTCCCTCAACAGTTGTGGGAAAATTGTCATTTCTACACAGAAAACCACGTAGGATATATACTGAGACAAATTTAAAGTTTCCAACAGCTCTAATTGTAGTTGTGGGAAGTTCTACGCAAAACTGTCCGTTCTACGCACAAAACAACGTTTGATATGTACTGACTAGAAATTAAACAACTACAAATGATGTTTCCGAAAACTCTAATTGTTTTCGTGATATTTCGTGATACATTTAAGGCAAAAATAACGGACATCTGAGCAACGGAAATTCCCACAACTAGTTGTGGGAAATTCCCACAACTAGTTGTAGGAATTTCCCACAACTATTTTTTAAGATTCCTACAACTAGTTGTGGGAATTTTTGGCAAAAATCTGTTCCCACAACTAGTTGTGGGAAATCGCGTTAAATATCGCGGGGACGAAATAAAATGAAAAGGGGGAATCCCACTGCCTCATTGTCGATAACACGACAAGGGCCCACTATTGAATACAATAGATTTGAAAACACTTTCCTATGTGCTTGATAATTGATACTGTGTTTCCCATCACTGTAGCAAATATACTGAATCTACGTGAAAGAAACTAAAAAAGCCCTTTGATTGAACGTCAAAATAGGAAAGTGACTTCCAACAACAATTTCCCCACATATACTCTTATCAGACCTCTTTATTGATATAAATGTCTTTGATCTGCTGTTAAGAGGCATTGAGGCAGTGGGAATCCCCGGATTTCTCCCCTAGTTGCGAGATTTTCCCACAGCTCAATTTTTCCCACAACTCAATTTTTCCCACAACTCAATTTTGCTTCCCACAACTAGTTGTGGGAATTCCCTCAACAGTTGTGGGAAAATTGTCATTTCTACACAGAAAACCACGTAGGATATATACTGAGACAAATTTAAAGTTTCCAACAGCTCTAATTGTAGTTGTGGGAAGTTCTACGCAAAACTGTCCGTTCTACGCACAAAACAACGTTTGATATGTACTGACTAGAAATTAAACAACTACAAATGATGTTTCCGAAAACTCTAATTGTTTTCGTGATATTTCGTGATACATTTAAGGCAAAAATAACGGACATCTGAGCAACGGAAATTCCCACAACTAGTTGTGGGAAATTCCCACAACTAGTTGTAGGAATTTCCCACAACTATTTTTTAAGATTCCTACAACTAGTTGTGGGAATTTTTGGCAAAAATCTGTTCCCACAACTAGTTGTGGGAAATCGCGTTAAATATCGCGGGGACGAAATAAAATGAAAAGGGGGAATCCCACTGCCTCATTGTCGATAACACGACAAGGGCCCACTATTGAATACAATAGATTTGAAAACACTTTCCTATGTGCTTGATAATTGATACTGTGTTTCCCATCACTGTAGCAAATATACTGAATCTACGTGAAAGAAACTAAAAAAGCCCTTTGATTGAACGTCAAAATAGGAAAGTGACTTCCAACAACAATTTCCCCACATATACTCTTATCAGACCTCTTTATTGATATAAATGTCTTTGATCTGCTGTTAAGAGGCATTGAGGCAGTGGGAATCCCCGGATTTCTCCCCTAGTTGCGAGATTTTCCCACAGCTCAATTTTTCCCACAACTCAATTTTTCCCACAACTCAATTTTGCTTCCCACAACTAGTTGTGGGAATTCCCTCAACAGTTGTGGGAAAATTGTCATTTCTACACAGAAAACCACGTAGGATATATACTGAGACAAATTTAAAGTTTCCAACAGCTCTAATTGTAGTTGTGGGAAGTTCTACGCAAAACTGTCCGTTCTACGCACAAAACAACGTTTGATATGTACTGACTAGAAATTAAACAACTACAAATGATGTTTCCGAAAACTCTAATTGTTTTCGTGATATTTCGTGATACATTTAAGGCAAAAATAACGGACATCTGAGCAACGGAAATTCCCACAACTAGTTGTGGGAAATTCCCACAACTAGTTGTAGGAATTTCCCACAACTATTTTTTAAGATTCCTACAACTAGTTGTGGGAATTTTTGGCAAAAATCTGTTCCCACAACTAGTTGTGGGAAATCGCGTTAAATATCGCGGGGACGAAATAAAATGAAAAGGGGGAATCCCACTGCCTCATTGTCGATAACACGACAAGGGCCCACTATTGAATACAATAGATTTGAAAACACTTTCCTATGTGCTTGATAATTGATACTGTGTTTCCCATCACTGTAGCAAATATACTGAATCTACGTGAAAGAAACTAAAAAAGCCCTTTGATTGAACGTCAAAATAGGAAAGTGACTTCCAACAACAATTTCCCCACATATACTCTTATCAGACCTCTTTATTGATATAAATGTCTTTG